AATACAGGTACTAGGTACATAAAAAGGCAAAGGGTCAGTTTGAGGAGAATTTGAATCCTGATCCTGCACACCTCCCTATGTGGGCGGCATCGACGACACGTACATCAGAACCGAACCCGCAGCACCTTGTGCATCCGGATGTGGTCATCGGTCACATCCTGTAGTCGTGGGGGCACCTTGGTTGGGTCCCATAGCAGGAAGGCTGGGAGGACACAGGGCAGGGTCAGCTAAGGCAGGACATCCTGGCCAGGCCCTCAGCCTGCCAGTTTTGTGTCAGGACAAAACCCCGCAGGGGCTCACCGCTGCCTTCCAGTTGCTTCAGGCTCAAAATGTCTCTCTCATAGGCCACATAAGAGCTGACTGCTTCCCACCCCACCTGCTTCTGCCCGCTGTCCCCCCTGCCTCTGCCCTCACAATCTGTTCCGTGAATGCAGCCAGAAGGGGCCTGTGAACACTGGAGGGGTTGGAGCTCATCCATGGCTCCATCTCACTCAGGGTAAATGCAAATCCCCATCAGGGCTCACAAGGCCCCATCAGCCCTCTGACCTCACCACTCTCCCCTTCACTAGCTCTGCTGAAGCCACACTCTGGCCTCATAGCCTTCACAACCGGCTGATCCCTCCACCCAGAGTCCCGCTGTCTTACCATGCAGCCCTCTCTCAGGTCACTTCCCTTTCTGGGAGGCACTGGGGTGAGGAAAGTGGCTGGTGGAGACAAGGCAGCCGGGTCTCACACGCCAGCTCTGCAGCCACAGGCTGTGTGAACTTGGGTGAGCCATGGGCCTCCACTCCCTTAGCTACAAGGGAGACAACAGCCTCTGCTTACTGAGCACCTGCTATGCGCCACCACGAGGGCACTCAAAAGAGTTCTGTGAGGATGAAGTGGCATTCATCTCTAAGGCACTCACTTGGTGCCTGGCACACAATAAGTGCTCAATAAAAGCTACCTGTTAGCATTAACTGCTCCTGTTACGTACCCTGCAGCCTTCAGTTTGGATTCTTTGGGGCAACTGTTTTTTTAATGCCCATCTCCCCATAAATGGAGAGCTCTGTGAAGGTAGAGATGTGGTCTGTGTATCCACAGCTCTGTCACTTCCCCTAGAACCCTCCTTAACCTCATCTCAGGCTGTGTTAGGTGCCTCCTCTGGGCTCCCCGCTATCCTGGCCTTGACCTCTCTGCCTGGGCCCCCATCCTGGGTCTGACTTCTCTGCCTTGGCTGCCTCCCCCCCGTCGCAACCCTGACAGTTGTGGCCTGTCACTGTTTGATGACGGCTCTGTTTACCACTTCCCTGTCATCTGTGAGATATGTGAGTGTAAGGCCCAGGGCTGTTTTGGTCACTACTATGTCCCTGGCATCTCGCAGCAAGGTTCAGGCACACAACTGGTGCTCAATAAATGCACAGTAACTTGGGATGGCTCCAATGCCACCTTGCAAAGGCCTTTGGGCTGCCATTTACTCCCCCCCGCCCCAACCCTTCAGCCCCATCCCTGTGACCCCACCACCCACCCGAGGTGCAGGCCACGACCTTGTCCACACCATGGGCCTTCATGGCCGCCACAATGTTCTGGGCACCCTCGGACATCACTGTGGTAGGACCTTAGAGGGGACAGAGAGTGGCTGTCACTGGTGGGTGGCGGCGGTGGTGGGGGTGGCAGAGGTGGGGCAGGGGGTGGGGGTGGTGCTGGGGGCCGAGGTGCAGGTGGGGGCCGTGGGCAGAGGGGGGGCCGAGTACTGAGGTCATTGCCGGTGCCCAACAGCACGATGACAGCGTCCTGCCCAGCCACAGTCTTGTCCACGTCGGCTGCCTGCCGAACATCGCCCACTACCACGTGGGCTGGCTGGGGCCCCTCCGAAGGCAACCTGGAGGAGTCCCGCACCAGCACTGTCACCTCATAACCTGTGGGCAAAGAAGGGCAGAGAGGCAGGTCAGTAGGCTCTCGGGCTGGCACTCCTGGGCTCCTGGAGGATACCATGAACCCTCCAATACATCCTTCTGGTCCCCTGTTCTGAGGCAGGGGCCGCCAAACATTTTTGCTGGCATACCGACAGTTGATATTGAGGTAGTTGTTAAAATTGGGCCATTCCTTCATGCTGGTTCATAAATAACCTGAACTGATGTCTCCAACGGCCTCCCTGAGCCCCCCCTGCCTTCTCCACCCTCTGGCAACTGAAGAGTTAATGACTGGCATCACACTGGCATCCATAGTCCTGGAAGAAACTGAGGCACAGAGGAAGACATGAGTTGCCCAAAGGTTGCCCAGTGCTGGGATTGGTCCCCCAGGCCTTATTTCTGCAGGGCAAGGCCCTGCCTTAGTGGTCATTAAAGATTTTGAACATTGCCTTGGTATGCTTCCTCCCAAAAGAATTTTTGATAACTCGTGTCTCTCTTCCCCACATACAAACCCATTTTAAAGTTCACAACATAATTATCCTTTTTTTAAACAATGACAAAGGATGTTTTGTGTTTGAGTGTATTGCAAATGGTGATATCTATCTAATCTAATAAAAGAGAAACATGCAAATTGATGTACCTCCACTACACCCACAAGCCACGCCCACTAGCCAATCAGGAGCAAATATGCAAATTAACCCAAATAAGATGGCGGCAGTCATGGAGCTGGAGTGAGCAGGAGGCTTGGGTTGCTCCCAGCCATGGAGGAAGCCAAGCTTCCCGCCTGCCCTGCTGGCCTTGAGCTCTGCTCAAGGCTACAAAGTTTCAATTATAGAAGATAAATAAATTCCAGATGCCTGCTTCTAGCCCCCGGCCGAGGCCAGCCTGAAAACAGCCCTCAGCCCCTCACCCAGGCTGGCCAGGCACCCAAGCAGGACCCCCACCCTGATCCAGGACACCCTTCAGGGCAAACCAGCTGGCCCCCACCCGTGCACCAGGCCTCTATCCTATATAATAAAAGGGTAATATGCAAATTAACCCTAACAGCAGAAAGACTGGGAATGACTGGTCACTATGACACACACTGACCACCAGGGGGCAGATGCTCAATGCAGGAGCTGCCCCCTGGTGGTCAGTGTGCTCCCACAGGGTGAGCTCTGGTCAGCCACAAATCAGGCTGACGGCTGCCAGCACAGCGGTGGTGGCAGGAGCCTCTCCCGCCTCCTCAGCAGCGCTAAGGATGTCCGACTGCAGCTTAGGCCTGCTCCCCACTGGCAAGTGGACATCCCCTGAGGGCTCCCGGGCTGCCAGAGGGATGTCTGACTGCCAGCTTAGGCCTGATCCCCCGAGGAAGATAAACCAGAGCCCTCTCTCCATCACGTAAGAAAGACATCTGCAAGCCTGGAAGAAGGTTCTCACCAGAAACCACATCTGTTGGCACCTTGATCTTGGACTTCCCAGGCTCCAGAACTATGAGAAATGCATGTATGTTGTTTAAGTCACCCAATTTTCTTATAGCAGCCTGAGTCAGCCTCTATATATCATTCTCCTGAAAACTGAACCACAGCTCCTTGAGAAATGGCTGGTGGGCTGGGGATGGGCGAGATGAGCCTGGAGCATGCCCTGCCCGCTGGGAAGGCAGTGCTTAAATGAGGGGACCATGAACTCAATAGAAACACATCGAATATATAGAAATCTGTGAGTTCATAATGATACTAACAAAGAAACCTCATTGGTCATCACCTATCAGAGGATTAATCTCTTACTCTGAAAATAATAAAGGAAGAGGAAAAACAACGAATTTGTTCCATTTCTTTTGATATCTGTCATCATCATTTCAAAAACAAACAGTGGGAGATTTACACTCTGGGCAATGATGATGATAGTGATAAATAATATGTATCGAGCACTCACTATGTGCCAGGTGCCAAGTGTCCTACAAATATTAACTCTCTTACATATTTAGTTCTCAAAGTAACCCTCGGCCTGAATTCCAGCCTTACCACTAGCTAGCTGAATGACACTGGGCAATTCACGTGCCCTCCTTGAGCCTTAGGTCCTTCATTTGTAAAGTGACACAATAGTAGTCTCTACATTATAGATTTGTTGTAGGGTTAAATAATATTTACACAGCCATTTCGTACCCATTGAAACGAACATTTCATCAATAAAGCACTATTGCTTAGAGGTTAAAAAAAATAGAACTAAAAGCTCAATGTAGACAGTTGATTTTTGACAAAGGTGGCAAGACCATTCAATGGGGGAAAAAAACAGTCTTTTCAACAAATGGTGCTAGGACAACTGGATGCCCACATATGAAAGAATGAAGTTGGGATTCCTACCTCATACCATAAATGAAAATTAACTTAAAACGATTGAAGACCTACATGTAAGAGCTAAAACTGTAAAACACTTAGAAGAAACATAGGCATTAATCTTTGTGACTTTGGATTAGACACCTAGCTACAACACCAAAAGCACAAGCAACAAAAGAAAAAATAGATACATCATCAAAATAAAATATTTATGTGCTTCTAAGGACACCATCCAGAAAGTAAAAAGACAACCCACAATGTGGGAGAAAAGTTTGCAAATTGTATCTCAGGTAAGGGACTTGTACTTAGAATATATGTATAAAAGAATTCCTAGGTTCTGGCCGTTGTGACCTAGTTGGTTGGGCTTCATCTCATGCACTGAGAGAAGTCGCAGGCTGATTCCTAGTCAGGGTACGTGTCTGGGTTTCAGGCTCCATCCCCAGTGGGGGATGTGCAGGATACAGCAGATCACTGTTTCTCTCTCTCCCTCTCCCTTCCTCTCGCTATAAACAAAAACATTTTTAAAATATATTTTTATTGATTTCAGAGAAGAAAGGAGAGGGAGAGAGAGACAGAAACATCAGTGATGAAAGAGAATCAATGATCGGCTGCCTCCTGCATGCCCCACACTGGGGATTGAGCCTGCAACCTGGGCATGTGTCCTGACCGGGAATCTAACCATGACCTCCTAGTTTATAGGTCGACGCTCAACCACTGGGCCATGCCAGCTGGACTGAACTGTATATTTTAAAGGGGTGAATTGTATGGTGTGTGAACTGTATCTTAATAAAAATACAAAACTAAAACTATGCCAGCCGGTGTGGCTCAGTGGTTGAGCATGGACCCATGAACCAAGAGGTTACCAGTTCAATTCTGGGTCAGGACATATGCCTGAGTTTTGGGCTCGATCTCCAGTAGGGAACATGCAGGAAGCAGCCGATCATCAAGGTTTCTATCTCTCTATCCCTCTCCCTTCCTCTCTAAAATCAATAAAAACATATCTTTAAAAAATCACATAATCTCATTCATAAAGAACAAAATAAACTGATGAACAAAATTGATCCAGAGACATAGAAACATGGAACAGACTGTGGAGTCTCAGAGGGAAGGTGGAGGTAGGTGGATGGGAAGAGATTAACCAAAGAACTTATATGCATATGTGCATAACCCATGGACACAGACAAGGCCTGGGGGCGGGGGATCAGCTAGAAGGGGTAAATTATGGGGGGAAGGGGACATCTGTAATACTTTCAACTATAAAGATAAATTTTTTAAAAATACAAAACTAAAACAAATGAAAAGTTGAGGAGAGTGCCTGGCATAGGAATGAGTGCTATATGGGTGCTGGCTGTTCTATGCCTTTTTTTCCTTACTATGCCTGTTAATCATCTCACAATGTTATTTCCTGGCCTGGTGTAACCCTCCCAGGCTCTCCTGACCCCTGTCACGCCTTCTCCAATCCATATTCCACATGGCAGCCAGATAGAGCCTTCCACAGAAGT